TAAATCTAAATCTAAATCTAAATCTAAATCTAAATCTAAATCTAAATCTAAATCTAAATCTAAATCTAAATCTAAATCTAAATCTACTTGCCCAGCCAACCGTGTGTGTGTGTGTGGGTGCAAGCCTAATAGAGGACAGAGCCATCTATCCCAGCACTGGAAGGGGCTTGAGATCAAGATCCTGAGCGCCAACATCACAACTGCCCCTTCCTCTTTTCTCCTCCTCTTGTTGCAGTCACACTCTCTTTTTCCCCCTCCCCCACAAGCTTGCTATTCCCCTTGTGGCACCTGCAGGGCTTAAGACTTTCCCCTCTCCTCTTTCCTGAGCCACGGGCTTTAACAGAGGGGAAGCAAAAGTGTCCAAACAGCAGCTTTTGGCATGCCCTGACAGATCTCGTTTCTCCCCCTTGCCTTGTTTTTTTAACTTTATATGCAGAGTTTACAGGCAAAGCCCACATGCGCATAGGGCGACCTGCCCCCACTCCTCAGTTTTGTTTTCTGCCCTCCTTTTCACACAAGTGGTGTGACGGTGCAGCAGGATTAGGCTGCTGGCCTGTGACATTGAGCATTTGGGGGACTCTAGCGCTCCTCCTTCTGTCACTGCAGGAGCAACAACAAACAAAATGCTTCCTTCCCCCTTCCAACAAAGGCTTAATTATACAGACGAAGAAACACACACACACAAAAGGACATCCTCGGTTTTGGCAACTAGAGGGAAAATGTTCATTATGCCAGGGCTGCACCAGAGCCAAATGCCAGGGGCAAACAAGCACCTCCACACTTCCCTTCCCTTCTAGCTGCTTTGTGTACACCTCTCAAGCAACTGCCAAAGCGCAGCAAAGGCGAATGTGGGGCAAGTGGCTGCTGCTTGCTAAAGGAGGATGTTTCTCTCCTGCACTAAGGCTCCAGCCATTGCTTTGCCTTATTATTCCTCCTCCTCCCCCATGAGAGGAGGAGGAGGAAAGAGGAGGGTCGCCAGAGTCTTAGTGCAGGAGCGAAGCAACCCTGTTGCTCCCTTCATGCCACGTTTGTGCAGGCACCCTAGACTTCCTGCTGCTTCAGGCTGGAACTTTCACCCTCCGTGCTGAGGAGCCATAAGGCAAGGTGGCTTGCTGCTCGGCCTCCTGCTTCTCTAGGCAACCCAGGTGGAGGGCAGTCAGCTTATGCTCCTGGCCCGGGAGATGGATCCAACCAGGAGAAATGCACACCCTATTTTTGCAACTGGGGAGGAAAAAGAATGTTTCAGGTTGCAGGAGGTTCCAGGCTGCACCGTGATTTCCACAGCTTGGAAACACGCATTGCCTGAAATGCTCTTTTTCCTCCCTGATTGCAAAAATGGAGTGTGCATTCCTCCTGGCCGGATCCATCTCTCATTCCCAGCAAGCTACTGCACCTTTGCTGCCTTGGTTGTAGACTGATTCTGCATGCCCCATTTTTGGAATGGTGGGGGGAAAGACCGTGCCCTTCTCCTCCTTCTCTACCTTCTCTTTCCTCCTGGCCAGATCTGTCTCCCAGTCCAACAGCAGAAGCCAACCGACTTTCGCCTGGGTTGTCTGGAGAAGGGGGACTGAGCAGCAGCTTGCCTTACACTTCTCACATAGCGCCCACTTCACCTGCCCCCTCTCAGGCAGTTCCAGTGGCTGAGATCACTGCACTTTACACCTCTCACACAGCACCTGCTCACCTACCTCTTAGATGCCTCAGCCAATCATCCACGATGACTTCACTCCCCAGCAATATGAAGAGCCGTCACTGCCTAAGCCCTCCCGGGAGTCAAGCTGTGGCAGCCCCAAAAGCCAAATGTCTCCTTTCCAGCCACCACAATCTATGCAGTGCTGCTGCTGCTCCCACCAGCTGGGCGGGCAAAGGAAGTGGGTGGGTGGGGCAAGCATGGTGCGGACAGGTGGGGCAAGTGAGTGAGTGATGCCCTGGAGAAGGGGGGGCAGGCCAGGGGAGGGACCGTTCTGTTATAGGGCCTCTGGAAGCCCTGGTATGGGAAGGCACACTAAATTCTTTGAACCAGTCTGCACGTACCAGTGTGGACTGGCCAAAACCAACCTCTGTTTTGCTCTTTCCAAATCAGTTAAATCTGAACTCTGCACTATCATACTGCTAGATAATTGTAGGTAAGTTGTTTCTCATGGTAAAAACAGCACCACAGTAAAGCCCCCCGCAGTGACGTTGCAAATACTTCTTGCTTCTGCTTTCATTCTGAACATAACATAAAAGTATCATGATCCAACAGTGGTGACATGACTTCTTTGTTATGATGCTATTTTTGTTCTTACTTTTCTCTTAATACTATATTTAATTTGTTTTTAATACATAAGATCACAGTTGTTTAGCATAAACATCAAACTATTATTGTTGTGATAGCTATAAAAAATTCCTTGAGAATCACACTATTGCCCCAGAGGGGCACAAAATCACTACAGGCTGTGAAGCAGTTACAATTCCTGTGATGTTTTTATGTTTTAGGCTTCTGTATACCTTTAATATACTAAGAAAGACAATTCCTACCAGAAATTTCTTTAAAGAGACATTTTGGAAATTTGTGTAATCAGAAACATTTGTGCTTAAAACTTTAGCAAAATATTGTACTCATTTTCTTTTAATATACAGGTAGCCCTTGATTTATGACTAGTCACTTAACAACCATTTTCTTTTACAATGGCCATGGAAGAAGTGCTTTACAACCCATAAAGACACACACACCACAGTCATTGTAAATAGTCAGACATCCCTCCATGGTTTCTGACCAGTCGTTGCATTCTGTAGTCATGTGATTGTAATTTACACTGTTTTTTACCAGCTTCCAGCAAAAAATGACATTTTAGATCAATGGATTTACACTTACAACCACTATATTTGCTTAACAACTGCTCCATTTAACAACCATTGCAAAAAAAGTTTTAAAATCACTTTATGCATGTGGGTGCCTAGATTTATGACCCTAATGACTTACAACCAGATTTCTGATTCCAGTTACAGTCATAAACTGAGGACTCTCTTATGTCATATTGATATACACATTATGTTATATTCATACAAACACCTTTTTTCTGTTTCAGATAATATCTAGTTGATACAGCTAGCAGTGTATCAGTGTAACAGTTGTTTTTAAAAATTATGAAATAATAGATGCCCATATATTGTAGTAAATATGATATTAAACCTCCTTCTCTTCTCTTCCCCTCCCCTCCCCTCCTCTCTTCTTTTCTCTTTAGAGTTCCCAACCTGTGACCCACTGATTCATTTTATATGTAATAATGGAAGATGTATTAGTAGCAAGTGGCATTGCGATACAGGTAAGAATCAACTCTAATTCAACCCTAATCACAAATAATGTTTCTGTCTAACTTTCAGGAATCTTATTCAGCTTCCCTATATCATAGCCAACCCTGAAGTGGCTAAGACTGAAAGTTTCATGTGATAGTGGTGGAAATTAGCTTTCATGTTATGTTACCTGTTAAGCTCATGCAATAATAGGTTCCATGCAGAAGTGGTATTCAGCCAGTTCTGACAAGTTCTGGAGAACCGTTAGCAGAAATTTTGACAGTGAGGAGGGAATGGGGATTTTGCAGTATCCTTCCCCTGCCACGCTCACAAAGCCACGCCCACAGAACCAGTAGTAATTTTTTTTAATCTTACCACTGGTTCCATGTTAGCATCCAATCCACTATTTATACACTAGGTGTGACAAAAATTGATTTCATTAAATCTTATAAAAGTTACCCAATATTTTGAAGATTAATATGTACTAAAGAATTTACCGATTAATCATATAAGCATAGGATTATTGTTGATTTCTGACCTTTCACTTCTCCTTGGGAATGGAAAGTGACAGAATACTATTTAACCATTATGTCTCCTGTTAATTAAATATTTGTGATATTGTGTATGCTATTTGCATATCTATCTATCTATCTATCTATCTATCTATCTATCTATCTATCTATCTATCTATCTATCTATCTATCTATCTATCTATC